CTCATTATAGCAACGTGGAATACTTGATCAAAGAATAATTTATACGAAATAGATGTTCAATTTTTTTGTTCAAATCCAAGGTAAAATTCGAAGTTAGTTATCTCATAGAGGAACACTTGATCAAGGAACAATTCATACAAAACATCTATTCAAACATTTTGTTCAGTTCGAAACAGAAATTTTAACTTAAATATATCGTCGTACGACATTCGCTGAAGAAATAATTTATAGAAGATGACTATTCAAATACTTTGTTTAATTCTCAGTAAAGCTTTCAAGCTGATCAGATGATTGAGGAACTTTCCATCAAGAAACTTCTCATATTAAACAATAACCGGGTATGTTTTTCAAGGCTAAGCAAAATTTTGTTGCTGATTATATAGTCGAGCATTACATGAGAAAGGAATACTTGATGGAAAACACCTATTTTTATATTTTGTCCACAACAGAGCATAGATTTCAAATTGATTATGTCACAAACGAAGACTGTGTCAAGGAACAGTTGATATTAAGTAATAATCAAATATTTTGTTACATTCGTGTTAAAGATTTGTAGGGGTTTTATCATCGAAGAACAATCGAACGAGAAATTATTCATAGGAAGAAATTATTCAAATGTTTAGTTCAATGCAAAGCAAAGATTTTGAACTTGAATAAATTACTGAGGAATACTTGATTAAGGAACACTTCACATTAAACAACAATCAGTTATCTTGTTCAATACCAGATGAAGATAGTTGGTATAATTGCAGCATCCAACAACACTTGATCAGAGAATAGTTTATAGAAAATCAATATTCAAATATTTTGTTTAATACAAAGCAAGAATTTGAACTTATTATGTCATTGAGAAACAATCGATTGAGGAATAATATACAGCAAACAATCATTCATATGTTTTTTTCAGTCCACAGCATAGATTTTGAAATTGATTATATTATTGAAGAATATTTGATGATGGAACACTTCATACTAAACAATAATCAGTTATTGAATTCGATTTGAGACAATGATTTTGAAGTTAATCATATAATCGAGGAACACTTGATTGAGGAACAGTTCATATTAAATAATTATCAACTATTCTGTTGTGGTCGAACCAATGATTCAAACTTGATGATATTATCAAGCTGCACTTGATGAAGGAATAATACTCAAAAAACGAATATTTAAATATCTGGTTTAATTCGAAGGAGAGATTTGAGTTTGATTTTGTGATCGAGGAAGAGATGATCACAGAACAATTTATAAGAAATGATTATTCTAATCTTTTACTCAATTCGAAGCAAAGACTTGTAGTCGATTATATCATTGAGGTACACCTGACCACGGAAAAATTCATAGCAGGCTATTTTTCGAATATTCTATTCAATTCAAACCAAATATTTGAAGTTAAATTATTCATCGAGCAACTCTTGATTATGGAATAATTTATACGAAACGGCTATTGAAATATTTTGTTCGAGTTGAAACAATTATTTTAACTGGATTGTACCATTCTGGAACAGTTGATCAAGGAATAATCCATACAAAATAGCTATTTAATAGTTTTGTTTAATTCGAAGCAAAGATTTGAACTTGACATTATGATCGAGCAACTGCTGATCAAGGAATAACTCATACGAAATAGCAATTCAAATACTTTGTTCAAATATAAGCAAAGATTTGTACTTTATTATGTGATCTTTGAATACTTGATTAATGAATGCTTTATATATGAAGTATTCTTTGATTGAGTGTTTGAGGATAATATAGTTAACGGAAAATTTTAACTTCCAGTCGAGTACAATATTTGAATATGTCTTTGGTATGAACTATTACTCGATCGCGTGTCCCTCTATGATATATTAGCGTGTATATCTTAGATTTGAATTGAAAAAATTGTTGAATAGTTATTTAATATTAATTATTCTTTGGTAATGTGTTCGTTGATGGTAAAGTTAACTTTAAATCTTTGCTTCACAATAAATAAAATATTTGAATATCTGTTCTTATTATTCTTCTATGTTTGGTATATTGCAATAGAGAAATACCTATCTATGGTATCGTTCAAATGAAAAGCATATGTGAATAGGATGATCAAGTCAGGTATGATGCGTCACTATAGACTATTCATAATACCCCGTCGAAAGAGTGTCTTGATAATGTATTCCATCATTTATATATTCTTCAATTCGATACGACAGACTTTGTTGATATATGATCGCAAACTGTATATCCAGAAACATCTCGTTATAATATATGAACTAACATCGTATTGCATTTTTGAAGAATTAAAAGAAGAATGCAGAAACATCTTATTTTAATTTCATCAGCAGTGCATTAATAATTTTGTTTTATTTGTAGGAGATATGGTACCAGGAAGACTTCATAATTTTAAATGGAACGGTACCGTCAATCATAAAAACAATCGACAAACATTTTTTAGTAGCCAGCTCTCTCATTTAATTCCGCAGTTAGTTAGACTCTTTCTATTATATTATGAATCTCTTAACTTTTTCTTCTTATATACTCGCTTTTTTTTTCCTTTTATTTTTTCTGTATCTTTTCTATTTATTCATACCCATAAACAACAAATAAAATATAATTCCAGTGCATCGAACATTTTCTTTGTTGTTTTGATTTATTTCAAAAAATCTTGTATATATTTCGCATTGATCTTCAGTCCATCTTCAATGTAAATGACAACTAAAAGATACAAAAAGGTTTTAATATTACGTACAGTGAAACTTCTATTAGTGGACACCTCTCAACTCTGAATTTGAACACTATTTTACAGTCTCGATTGCTGTTATAACCTCTCTTAGATGGACATGTAAATTTTTTTTCTCTCTTTCCTCTTTATCGTTTCTCATTAATTCACAAAAAATGGCTACTTATTGTTTGTTATAACCGTACATATCAGTCGACAAATGACTTCTCGACATCATCTTATTGTAAAAGAAAAATTCAACTAATGAATGATACCGTAGTGATAATAGCTTATTAAAAAGTAAATGAGCCAAAAAAATACAACATTTCAATTGGTTCTGTATCTAATGTATTAAAACGAAGGAGAAATTTTTTTTTCTAAGATTAAGAAAGAAATCTGAATCAAAATTAATCGATATTTTTATTGTGTCGAAAAAACAAAGACAAAGAACTTCAGAGAAGTTTTTGCAATAAAGTTCAGTGTTTTTCTTTCTGTGGAAGAGTTTTTCTCTTCGAATAAATGTCATTGATAGAAGATAAGATAAACAAAAAATGTTCTCCAATTATCTAAGAACTGGTGAAGAAACTTATTTTCTGAAACTTAACCTTATAGTGTAGTAAAATAGATGACATCTTCCATAGGTAAACACCTTTTAAAACTGAACACTTTTCAAACGTCCCGACAGTGTTCACTTAAGAGAGGTTTTATTGTAATGTTCATATCCGGTTGCCGGTTCTAGCAGAGGCCAAGAGTTTGAAGCCTTTCGTGAATACAATGCCAAGATTATCCTAATGATATGTAATTTATAGGTGCTGGATATCGTAAACCTTTAAATAAAAAGCTCGAGAGTATTCTAAATAATACACAATATCCTTTGATGATTTTATTGACTTTGAATTATGCAAAATAACAGTAGCAAAAATCAACATGAATATATTTTTGTTATTGATTGAAATCATTTATTATAGAAAAGAAAACATAATGTGAGTTTTTCTATGTTTATTTTGGATTCAAATCATCAAACATCATCATTTCTGTTGTTTTTCCTTAAAGAAGCACATGTTGCGATCTACAAATTCTGTTTTCCATCGAAAGTGAGCACAAAATAATGCTATTGTCGCAAGTAATGTTCATCTTTTGTCGAGAAAAAATAGATGTTATCGTGTGAGCACAATATCTCCCACACAAAATGAGAGCATATTGATAGTTTTTGTGCTAATTTTTTTAGCACAAAGCCATCCTACATCCAAGCCGGAAAGTTGTGTTGGTAAACCTTTGTAGCCAACACAAAATGAGTCTGGTCAAGATTTTTATGCTCACTTTTGTAGCATAAAATCCAAGGGGGAAACGGCGGACTTTTCGACTTGAAGTTACTTTAAGTTACTTCAATGATACTTTGAGCTACTTGAGTGGTACTTGAATGATACTTTGATTTACTTCAAGTTATTTTTTTGAGTATTTCAATGCTACTTTGAGCTACTTGAGCGGTACTTTAGGCTACTTCAGTAGTACTTTCAGCTATTTGTAGCTACCTGAAGTTACTTGAAGTTATTTGAACGGATTTCGAGTTAATTCAAGTTTTTATAATATAACTCTAATCATTATTTCTAAATGCTAGCATTCTAATTCTTCATATGTTTGATAAAAAAAAACGGTATAGCATTGAAAAAAATCCTTCAATTAAGAAAAAAGCTGCAATAAATGGTACAAGAATGTATTTACCGATCAAAAAAGAAAAATGATTCAAGAAACATCAGATAAAACAAAAGTATTATTGACTGAATACGTGAATATCGAATAAATAAAAATATAAAAATGTTCAATTACGAATTCTTTTTGTTGAAAGATATTGTTGCGATTCCGATGTTATACGACGTTTAGCACTACGGCTTGGCTGGGATGTTGAAACTGAATTTGTATTAGACGTTGATGGTGTATTAATGCTTTCATTGGTGCATAACTGCACAGACGACATACTTGATTGAGATGTCGGAATTTGTGACATCGAAAACGTTGACTGTAGTTGCTGTTGTATCAATTTTTTTTTCTCAGCTTTTTTTATTTCTTTCATATGACTACATTCCATAGACTGCAAGTGTTTGTAATAGTTTGAGACTTGTATTTTCTGATCATTTCTACCTAATGTGATTGCTTTTCCACATTTGCATTTGATAGTAGCTTGTACAATAGAATTTCGATCGAAATCAATATTTAACGTAAAATCAATATCTTTTTCTAATTAAAAATTTTCTAAATTTAAATTTTCTCTATTTTCTTTACACCATTTTTTAATTAGTTTTAGAACATGTCATTTATGTCCTGATGAAGATAAGGAAGAAGTTCTTGCTTCTTGTATTGATAACGTTAAAGAAGAGATTGATGATACATTATTATTTGATTGTTGTTGTTTCTTTTTTGTTGCAGGTTTGATTTGTTGATTTAATTTTTCTTTTAAAGCTTCCTTCAGTGAAACAAATCCAGAAAGAACACCAGGTTTTATTAGGAATTTATCATTCTTCATTTTAAAACATAATTGTTCTTTTAATGTATCTAATTCTTCATCATCAATATCTTGATTGAAAATATCTAATGATTTTTCAATTAATATGAAAGACGATGTTGCTTTTACTGATATTTTGTTCAAAAAATTTGCTTCAGATTCACCTAAAGTAGTTCGAATGAATATAAAAAAATCATAGCCAGACAACGTTAACACATTCGGTGGCAAATGATCAAAATGATAAGAAATCGACATAGTAAAAGTATTCTAAAAGAGAATATAAGGGTATCTAAGACAATAGGCCAGGATTAATCCTTTCATGCTAAAAATACATTTTACACAACGTAAATAAATTAATAAATTGATTGAATGCACAGAAAAAAAATAGATAAACGATTTGCAAATAAAATTAGCCAATTGTAAACGATTAATTGACACAACAGTCCACCGCGCAGCTATTTCACAACGTAATGACCTCCACAAACATAATATAGTAGAATTGTATGATTTGACTAATGACTCTGGACTCTTCTAAAATGGTATTTATAGGTTGAACATGACTTATTCAAGTTACTTGAATACATATATTAGAGATTTTTAAAAATCCACTTATTTTATTAGAATTATTTTAATATGTTATTACTATATTATCTACATTTTTGTCGAATAAATTTTCGAAGTGCATTACAAACCATCAATACATTTTCAATATGATTGTATTCAATTTTTATTATTTAGTCATAATCATCATTACTTATGGTTCTCATTAATGAAATTTTCGTTCGCATAGAGCTACTTCATAGAAATTTATTCAGTGTGTCGGCTCATCTAATCTTCTTACAAATGGTGGCCAATAAAAATACTTTCACCATTAATATGTTTTCTTCATTCCTTGTCTAACGAATGATCGTTCATTTCCATTAAGAAAATAATATATAAGAGTTAGCTTTGCAAGATTATATAGTTCCTAATTAATAATTTTTTTGACGGAATATATTTAAATAACTTCAAAATAAAGCGTTTTTTGCTGTTGTTATTGTTTACACTTTGACAGTCACATTATATTATTCTTTATTTAAGTATTATTATTTTGCATTTAGAATTGGTTTTACAATCACAGTTGGATTAAATATATTACTATTGTCCTTCATAATTTAAGCGAATAGCTAAAGAAAAAAATTCAATCGTTTTGGCTACTAAGTATTTATCTTTCAAATCTTGCAGTTATGTTTTCTATTTCATAGCTGTTGTAGATTAATAATACATAATATTCAAAAGAAATGTGTTCTCGAAACGAAGATATTCTGCTTGACATTACAGTTTTACCAAAAGATATTTTTGAACGTGTTGATCATAAATTTTATGATGTTGTTAAATCAGTAGCAGGTGATTCATTAGCAGAGATTTTAAAAATACAATCGATTAACTCTGTTGGAAAATTATTGAATACTCCTGATGCATTTGCATTTTTTCAATATGATTCAGAAGAAACTGATGCTATTAAACTTGAAATATGTTTCAGATCCAAGACAGAACAATTTATTGTGAAGCCAGGCATTAAAAGTAGTTTTTCATATTTTATAAATTTATTGAAATCAAGCATTAAAACAAAAACAAGAATTAGCATCGAATGAAAAAACAGAAAATTATTCAAACTATATAAATGATGAATTCCTCGATAATCATCCGTTATTAAAGTCATTGATAAAATGGTATCAATTAAATGATTTAGATGATGTTAAGCAAACAAATCGATTTTTAGTATCATTTATAGACAATTTAATAAACAACTGTACACAATCTCCGAATAATTTTAGACATAGTGAATCAATTAAAAATTTTGCCATATGCTTATATGTTCTCGGTGGCAAACAAACCTATGAATTTATTTGTTTAAATCTTTATGGTTCTATTCCTAATTTAACAACACTTGGTGAATTAATTAAAAACTCAGACACTGCCTCTAGTGAAGCAGAATTTAACTTTGGATCTCTTTGGCACTGTCGTTCACACTTTGGTTTTTGTTCTGAAGACATCACAGGGATCATTCGTAAAGTTGAATATAACTCAAAAACAAATTCTTTCGTCGGGTTTGCAACTCCAATTAATCATGAGATTCCATTACCAAAATTCTATCAAGCTGATACGTTTAATGAATTGAAAACAATTTATGAAACAAATGAGATGGCACCACTGTTAAATGTACACATGTTTCAAAGTATACCAACTGAAGATAATGCAACTCGTATTCCAAGACCATTGTTATTATCAGCGTATGGTGTTGACAATAAGATTACTGCAATAAATGTATTAAATCGATGGATGTATATTTTTCAACATTGTTTGCAACAAAATGTCTGTATCATTGGATTTTCTACAGGTAGATTTTAAGACGCTTATGCTAACTAAAATGCTGTTTTAATTTGTAAATAGATGCTGACAGAAGATATGTAAGTGCTATGCGTCTTGCAAGTGGTTTTTTTTGCATCACTATCCGATTTACAGTTAGATAAGCAGCAGGATTCATTTAAAATTAATATACCAACACATTGGAAATGTTTTTTCCTTCGAAATAAACAGTTATTCTTGTTTTTTCAAGATCCAGTCCATCTTGTAACAAAATGGACGAATCGATTATTGTCAACAACAACTGATTTACGTTTTGAAATAGACAAAATCACTATAACTCATATTGAAGCATTGATCAGTAACGGTCATTATACAAAACTAGATCATGACCTCACAAGCAGCGACATTAATCCAAAAGTCCGCCAGAACTACAACTCCTGCATTAAATTAATATCAGATGACGTGATAAACCTTTTGATTAATGGTGTGAATACGAATGGAACTGTTGTATACTTAAGTTTATTAAAAATGATAGTGAAAGCTTATATTGATAAATCAACATCCATTCGTGAACGTAAGCTTATTTTCGATCTTTAAAAATTATAAATCTAACCTTATTAATCTCAAAATCACTTCTATACATTTAGGTGTACAATTAGCATGGTGTGTCGTGTTTGTTTGACGCATATGGTGGTCATGGTTAAAAATGAATTCATTTTCCAGTTCATCCAGAAGTAAAGCAACAACTGAAAAGACCAGTGATGTAAATAAATGCTTCATTTCAAAACCTGCATATTTGTCGATTGAACTAAATGTCCACAACCTGCTTTATTTGGTGCTTTTGGTAAAACAGCAACATTTGCCTAAACAACCACTGATTAATATACATTTATTCAAATCTCAACCATGTGAATCGATCTTCAGAGATACACGATCGTTAAGTTGTTCTTTCTCCACCATAGTCAATTTTACTGTTAGCAATTTCATTCGACGGGCACAAAAATTATCTCTATTGAATCAAATTAAATATAATCAATCGAAAAACCATTTATCTTTTCCAACACATCACAAGCACAAACATGATGATTCCTTAATCTCTATAGATCATTTAGATGAAATTAATACGTTAGATCTTGAACAAGTTATATCAGATGCATATAACCAAGCAATTGATATCGTACATCACTCAAAAATGTTACAAGTATTAAAACACAATGATATAAGCGATTTAAAAACCTTAAGTGAATTTGTATTTGGAAGCTTAAGGGGACCCCCCCCCCCTTTCCCGAGTCAAAATTTTCACATTTTTTGTTTTTCATTTTTTGTGATTAGTATATAGATTTAAATGCCCTCTATCCATTGAGTACACTTTGAGAACTGAAAACCCACATCTTATATATAAAAAAATTCGAAAAAAATCACAAAATATGCTGAAAAAACCAAAAAACAGAAATTTCTTTGCGTTTTTCTCAAAATCAGTTTTTTCAGCACAAAAATAAAGTTTTCCCCCCTTTTCTCCTCTCGCACCGCAATCAATCGACCTGAAATTTTTACTGTGAATACTTCGAATAATTTGGGGTGGCCGTTTTTTTTTTCTCTTGAAAATATTCTTCTTAAGGAATTTTACTAGGTACCACAAAATTGGCACTATAAGAAAAAAACGAAAAAAATCCCATTTTTTGATAGTGCCGTCAGTAATTTGGTTCTTCTGACCCTTAGGAACGATATTTTTCGAAGAAAAAAAAAACGGCCACCCCAATTTGTTCCTAGTTTCTGCAGAAAAAATTTCAGCTCTAAACAATGCAGTATAAGAGTTTTGCGGGGGGGAAAACTTCAGGTCATTTTTCGCCCTTGGATCGCAAGTATCTCTGGGAAGACAGCATCTTCGAATTCTGAGCCTATGACAACTTTTGCTCTACTCATCGAGATCTATCTACCCTGAAAGTTTCAGAAAATTTCACCGAGCCGTTCTCGAGAAACCTCGGAAAGGGGGGGGTCCCCTTAAGGTAGAGTTCAAAAATGTTTGGCTATGCGTCCCGAACAACAACTGATAACAATGAAGAACTAGAATTAGATGATGATGAGGATGATGAAGATGAGAATGCGAATAGTGATGGTGAAGATGAGCTTTATGATGAGTTATTGAATTTTAAAAACGACTATTATAACGATGAAGAAGAGATATTAAATTCAACAAGATCAAGTTTTGAAGAAATAAAAATTGTTGATAATATTAATCCTATGCTGGAAAATTCGTATTTTAAAATTAAAATAAATGATAAAAATAAATATCTTCACAAACAATCAGCTTGCTGGTTATTATCCAGCAAATCAACAAGATTATCAAGTGATCGTTTATCTAGGGTCATGCAACAAACATAATATTAGTTCATAAAATTCTTGCTTTTTGTGTTTTTTATTTATATTTTCGATGCTTTACAAATAAATAAAAAAACTTTTTCGTATTCGTTCGTCTACATTGCTTTTCACTCGATAAGCTTTTAGATTTTGAAAAAATATTCGCCTACTCTAATATACTTATCGATACTTGAAACTACTTTTAAGGAACTTTGGAAGTACTTGAGTGTACTTGGAGTTACTTGAGTATGCTTGAAAGTACTTGGCGATACTTTTTAAAGTACTTGATGGTACTTTGAAGGTACTTCATGATACTTTAAAGGTACTTGACTGTATTCTAAAAGTACTTGAAGCTACTTTGCGACACTTTTAATATACTTGGAGCTACTTGTGTCTACTTGAAGTAACTTGAAGTTAATTATGTATTTTCAGGTACTTTTCTATTTCAAGTCCGCCGTTTCCCCCTTGGCTAAAACAGATATTGTTCTCTCTGTTTCTAATAAACTTAATCATCTAATTACTACTAATTTATGATGTTAACAGAATTTCGATAGTGGTGCTTGAAATTCATCATAAACCTAACCAACATATTCACATGTCTTCTGTTTCAAGAGTACATTATGAGCTATATTTTGTATCAAGTGCAAAATAAAACTATATAATTTTTACACATAATGGATGGCATCAAGTATAAACTCAACGTCATGGACTTGTTTAGATCTTAGCCAAAACAAAAAACAGAATCAAATAACAGATATGTTCACAGAAAGAACAAACCAATAGCATGCGAAATTTGAATATTTTTCTATCTTAAAGGCATGAAGATTTTGAATTTTAATGCTAATTTACTATCCATTTTTTAAGATCCATGAAAAAAACAGTGGTATGAAAATAGTTCTAATTGTCTTTCTTTTCTTAAAAACAAGTTCTTATTCGTTACTTTCAATTCACCTACAATTGCATAAAACTGAAAACCACTTGAGTATTTTCTATTAAGTAAAACTAGATTTGATTCCATAGTATATACGATGCATTCTAAAGATATTCGACTACACTACAATTGATATTCTTAAATGAACAACGCGAAAAAATTCAACATGTTTTTCACACAACTTTTTTGTTATCACATGTCAGAAATGTCTATTTAGCTGGGGCTTCGGTCAGCAACAGTGTTTGCGACAAATTTTTTCGAGATAATCGCGTTGTGATGCACAGTTTTTCAGCCGAATCACAATAGAAGTTTTCTGCAAATTTGTTTTTGTTCTGACCGACAAGACCTACAGATTCTTGAGGGTGTGGGTGTGGGTGTGGATTCGTACAAGTTTCACCTCCCACCTCCCACACCCACCCACACCCAGTTACTCATGGTAGAAAAATATTTAGAATGGGCAGTGAAATATTCAGCAAATCGATCATGGTGTCAGTGGCTTAGGATAGCTGCAGGGTACTTACTCATCTCTCTGGATGACGGCGAAATCTTTCCAATCTCAAAGAAATTAGACAGAGGAAAAGCAAAAAGCTTCAGAAGAGTAATTCTGGCTGTCATGTGGATATGGATATATAGAAAACTCCTCACTCACGCCAACACTGACACACTTACAACCATAGGCACACCCGTATCATCTCACACCAACCCACGTCTTCGATCCGATTTTGTTTGATAGTCATTGATAACAACTAGAATGATGATGGCGAGATTAGAGGAAGATTTCTGTAGTCAAATGTCTGATCTGACTGCTGGATATTGAGAAAAAAATTGAACATCGTTCACTTGAAAGTTGACAAGTGACTCAGGGATCTAAAGTCGAACGTGACTGAATCGATTGAGCGCGAGCATTGTGATGGACAGATCGTTTTCGATTAGTCTCGTCAGTGAAAATTCTTCACAGAAAGTGTGCAAGCTGTCAGAAACGTTTCTGCAGGGGAAGCAGAAATCTGCTTCGTCGTAGAAATAACTTGTTTGTTCGCGAACAAACCCAGCCTTTGCTGGACTCGTAGCTAGCACGCCGCCATTTTTATAGAAGATCATTTTCTTAAACTGGACATATTTATGTCAAAAATGATAGTTGGAGATGAAAGTTGATCAATTAAACTCGTGAGATGCAACGAAGACACAGTTCAGAGTACAAATGAATGTGGCTGGGTACATATTGAGACTTTGATTTGATCGAGATGCAAATTTCTGTAATCTGTCTATAATAAAAATACAAATATTAAGAACAAAATTTGCCCTTGAAATTGTTGTAAGTCGTCATTATATAGTGAGTCGATGATTGACAATAACAATATTCATGTTTCGAATGATGGCACGAGCCTATTAAATGCTTATATAGCAGAAGCAGTCCTATATTACTTTTACGGCACTTTTTTCTTCTATAAAGATTACTTTTTTGAAGAAAAATTAAATGCTTAAGAAAGCAGTGGAGCAATATCGAATTTCTATTTATCGATAGATCACGTCGTGCGCTTCTTCACTTTCGGCGAATGCGAAAAACATTGTCTCTTCATTATATATAAAGATGGGTACCGTCGCTATTCGGTCTCATTTCAACGCAAGCTATGATTTCAACAGTAATTCGTTGTTTCGTATTCATTCTATTCAGGTAATTCTAAAACGTATTTTTTTCCTATTCATCTAATGTTGAAGAATCTTCCTTTTAAGCCTCACAGGTTTGATTCTTATT